ATAACACTTTTGAGACAAAAATATTTGATAATGATGATTGCAATGTTTTGTTGCTTTTTCATTTTTATTAATTTATTTTTGGGGAGTGTATTCGTGCCACAGTACACGTAGTGGTCAAAGGATAACTTGTAGGAGTGGGTTCTTTCCTCCCACCATGTGGGTCTTATGAGAAACAATGATCCTCACTTCATAAAAAGAGCGCTGGATGGGGGTTGGAGAGGCAGCTCAGCGGTTAAGAGCACTGGTGCTCTTGCAGAGGACCCGGGTTTGATTCTCAGTACCCACAAAGCAGCTAACAATCGTCCATAACTCTGGTTCCAGGAGATCTGATGCCCTCTTCTGACCTCCTCAGGCATTGCACAACATGGGTGCACTTACATGAAGGCAAAACACTCAGATACATAAAAAATATTTTTAAAAAAGAGCATTGGAGACTCAGAATAATGAAAGTGAAGCTGTTTATTTTATGACCTTGCAAAATCAGCCATCAGCGTAGCATGGCAGGCACACTGACTAAGGCGGAGAACAATTTTTGTAGGCCTGAACAATGGCGCTCCCTCCCCGTCCTCACTTCAGAGGACCAGGAGGTGTGATCTTGCACGTCATCTTCTCTCCTCTCAGTTCGACAGACAGGGACCTACTCCGTTCTTCCGCACGTGGGTATCTGATTATTTGCACGTCATCTTCTCTCCTCTCAGTTTAGGCCTGAACAATGGCGCTCCCTCCCCGTCCTCACTTCAGAGGACCAGGAGGTGTGATCTTGCACGTCATCTTCTCTCCTCTCAGTTCGCATTTGTCTTTTTCTCAACAAAAATCAACTGAGTTTATCTCTATGTTTTAATTTCTTATTTGTATTTTATGTGTGTGAATGTATTTTCTGCGTGTTTGTCAGTGCATCCATGCAATGCCCGTGAAGGTCAGAAGAGGGTGTTGAATTCTCCTAGAACTGGAGTTACGGACACACAGTTGTTAGCTACCTTGTGGGTGCTGGGAATCAAACCCCGGTCCTCTGCAAGAGCAGCCAGGGCTCTCTTAACCACTGAGGAGCCATCTCTCCAGCCTCCTGATCCTGTTTATTTCAATGCTTATCAGATACATGGTCTTGCAGGGAAGCTTGGCTGTTGGTAATCTATTCTAAACTTCTAGTTTTGGGGGATAGCCTAGCAGCATTTGGATGGGGGGGTAGTTAGACTGGCAGGCATTAACAAGGGTCTAGTGTTTTCTGTTTATTTGTAACTGGACCTAAGCTGGCTCAAGGCACCTTTGAAAATGCACCATCAGATTTTATTTCTAGCAGGGTCTAGAACTCAGGTCGTCAGGCATGGCAGCAGTGCCCCCACCCACTGGGCCATCTCTCTGGTCCTATTTGCAACCCTAACCCTTTCTCCTCTCACCTTTTTCCTATCTGTCTACTGGATCCATAGAAGAGATTTTTAAATGTTTGTCCTCTTGCTAGTCACCCTTCATTTCTCTGCTCTCCCTGCTCTCCTGGCACGGCAGGGTGCACCCTCAGTCACTGTGGTGTAAGCACTTGCTCCCACCACCCACGTGATGCTGGGGGACCTGCAGGCAGGTCTCTGAGCTCTGTCATTTCTAGTGGGAACTCAGCTGCCAAACTTACTTCTTTTCCTCCTGAGAGTTGGGCGTCTTTGTGCTCATCTCCCTTCATCTTTGGTTCTTAGCTGCCTCTCCATGATGTGCCTTGCTTTGGTGGTCTTTGAGTGCATCTGCTTGGAGTGTGCAGGGCTTTCTGGATCTGGGCACTGATGCTCTAGCAATGTTAGGCTGTTTATGGCCATGGTAAGTCCTGCTTCTCTGCTGTCTCTGGACTGATTTGAAACAATAGGAATTCATTTCTCGTAGTTCTCGAGGCTGGAAGGCTGGTGTTGAGGTGTGATCATGTGTGACGCAGGTCCCCTCTCTGCTGCCTTCTCCCGTGTCCTCACATAGAGGAAGGAGCAAGCCTGTGCTCCATTCAGATGACCCACTTCTCCTGGAAGATTTTGTCACAGCCCACCTGAGGCCAGGCTGTGGTAGGTCTGATGGGGCCAAGCCTGCCTGGACTTGCTGTTCAACTCTGGGCCTCCAGCTCTGGCCTCTAATTTCTGGGATCCCCCTCCTACCCATCTGTAGTGCTTGACAGACACTGTGGAATTTCCTTTGACTTTCAGAGACTCTTAGACTTTTAAATCCTATGCCTTGGACTTGGAACTTGGCAGATGTCTTCAGGAGTTGCCTGTGCCTCCACCTTTCCGGAGTCTTGGCTGTCTGAGTTTGTCCCTCTTGACCACAGCTCTGCAGCTTTCTCTGTGCCTCAGCAGCAGCTCTCTGCCTGGAAAGACTCCAGCCTCCTGGCCTCACATACCCTGCCCAGAATGCAAAGGGGTTGGGAGCCAGTGCCGTCTTGTGTCTTCTGTGCCCCCAGCCCCTGCACTGGAATCTTGGCTTGTTACCCACACTGTGTTCAGTAGCCTTTTGAATCCGTCTTGCTGACTTCAACATTTTCTCTGCCCCAGCCACCGACCCTCTGAGGCAGGGGTGCATTTCTAGCAATCTCTGCTCCAGCGTGGGAACAGCCCCTGTGTGTTGATGCTTTTAAAGAAAAAGTTCTAGCATTATGGTTCAGTGTCCCAACTGGGGTCCCCCAAACAGACATGCCCTGTCTCCTCCACCAAACAGGAGCCCCCTGTTTGGATGCTGTCCTAGCTAGCTTTAATTGTCAATGTGACACAGCCTAGAGTCATCTAAGAGGAAAGCCTTGTTTGAGAGCTGCCTATATCAGATATAAGTTTGTGGGTATGTCTGCAGGGGGATTGTCTTGATTATGAATTGATGTTGGAAGGACCAGCCCACTACCGATGGCCCCTAAGCAGGTGGGCCTGGGCTGTATAATAAAGCTAGCTAAACATGACTCTGTAAGTGAGCAAGCCAGCAAACGATGAACTCCTTGGTTTCTGTTTCAAGCTCCTGCTTGAGTTCCTGCCCTAACTCCCTTCACTGACGGATTGTGACCTAGAAATGTAAGCCAAAGAAATCCTTTCCTTCTGAAGTTGCTTTTGGTTAGAGTGCTTTTTATCATAGCACCTGAAAGAAAATCAGAACAGACACAGTTGCCTGTCTTTGGTCTGGCAACACAGCTTTAACCTATCTGTGATGCCTGGGAGGGATGAGGCCCTGTCTCTGTCCTATGATGGTGCAGGGTGAGGTCTCTTCTCTGTCCTCATTTTCCACAAATCTCTTGTCTTGTCAAATTCCCCTGAAAATCCTGTTGGACTGTCTGGGTTGCAGGGATCGGGCATCTGTGTAGTGACTTTGAGGAGATGGAAAAGCTCATCCACCATGTCTACTGAACATGTGTAGTGACTTTGAGAAGGAAAAGCTCACCCGCCATGTCTACTGAACATCTGTGTAGTGACTTTGAGGAGAAGGAAAGCTCACCCACCATGTCTGTTGAACATCTGTCCTTCTAGCATCTTCTTCTCTGGTGATTTCCTACCTCTGTGCCTGGGATTACTTTGCCATATGACAAGGTCTTTAAGGTTTCAAGACATGCTGCTATATGTACCCTAGGACTCTCTCCCTAAGTTTCAGGCTTCATGGGTTTGCCCATGTCCTGCCTTCCTCCTTGGCTGGAATGTTCTAAGAAGTACACAGATTTGCTGATATAAGGAAACATAGTTTCCCTGCCCCTCCTGGGTGGCCACTCGTGGACTTGGGAAGGCAGTACCCTAGGGGTTCCCAGTGACTGACCCCATGTCTTGGGACTGTAAGGCCACCATGGGGGACTGGGATTAAGTCCAATTCCTACCAATTTTGTTCTAGTGCGGACTTGTCTACCCTCAGCAGTAGGAGAGATCTGTCCCTCTTCTGCAGCTTCTGAAAGATGTTTCCTAAGGTCCATTCTGCCCCAGGTCTAGCCTGTCTGTAGCGTTTGGAGAACCAGGGTTGAACAGCAGGATCTGGAAGCAGAGGCCCTGGGTCTGCACTGGCCTTAGGCCCCACCAGGCCCTCTCCCCTCCCTTTGCAGAGCCAGGTCCTTCTGCTTGGATCTGGGGTTTTCTTGAGATTCAGCCCTGTCTTACTAGGAATCTGGGGCAATGCAGGAGAGAGACCTTTGGCTCAGATTCTCCTAAGGTTGACAGTGACAGGTAGGGAGATAGGGAGATGCCTTTTCAGAAAGGGCACTTCATGGACCCCCAGTGGGAGATTCAAAGACCCGCCCTAGCATCTCACCGATGCCTCTGGTGGCTGAGGGTGGCTTTGTCCCACCACTTAGCTGTGGCCTAAGCCAGTTTTACACAACAATAAGAGAGAGACTGGAGAATTCATCTTCACGTCAAGCAAGTTTCCCCCAAACTCTGGTAATTTCCAGAGCCTGTCCCTCTCCTTGTCCCAGAAGCCCTGTCCTGCAGATCCAGGTCCTTGGGTAAAACAGCAGCTATCTTGTCCAGCCAGTCAGCTCTGGAGAGATGACTCAAAGTGGCTTCTCTTTCCTTGATTGCTGGGAGTTTCTCCACAGAGTCCAGGGAATAGAAAGGCAGCTCACTGTGGGTTCACTGGCCTCAGCCCTGCCCATTCAACATGTCTATAAACTGAGGCCCAGGGGCAAGTCACACAGCCAGGAAAAAGGCAGGACCAGGGCCAAATCGTAACCTATGACCAGGAATAGACATTCTTGTTCCTCAGGGCCCTGCCTGAGAAGCCTGTGGATGTGAGGGTCACCTTTGTGCTCCCTAGAAGGACACCCTCACTTTGACACCAGGGTTGTTTCCCATTTCTTGTGCTGATTCCTGTTTTGTTGGGCTTGTTAAGCTCAGCTTAGCTCTGTGCTGTTAATGCTGCATGCTCCCCAGTTCCTTGTCCTCTTAGTTGGTCACCACGCCTGTGTCATTCGGGGGGTTGGAGTGAGTGGAGAAACCCTATGGGTTCAACAAATAACCAGGCACTGGTTCTGCTTCTTTGAATATTGCTCCTAAGTCGTGTTTCCCTTTTCCCTAAAGGTGACTCTGCCCTTGCTGGGGCTCCTACCGCTGCTAGGAGTGACCAACAGAGGCCAAAGAAATGGCCGGGGCCTCTGTGAAGGTGGCGGTGCGTGTCCGCCCCTTCAATTCCCGGGAGATGAGCCGTGACTCCAAATGTATCATTCAGATGTCGGGAAGCACCACCAGTGAGTATTGGGTGACCCAGCCACCATCAATTCCTGGTCACTTGGGGATGTCCCATGCCAACCAGACCCAACAGCCAACCCAGCATGGTTCAAAAGCCCGGAGCCCTCCTCATCCACATGGTATGGGATCTGGGGCTGCAGTAAGAGATGACTAAGGACAGTGGCTCGAGGAAACAGAAATTTGTTCTCGGGTTCTGGAGGCCAGATAACTAAAATCAAGGTACAGACAGGACACTTCTCCTCAGATTCCTCTGAGGCTCAGGGGACCATTCTCCCTGCCTCTCCAAGTATCTGGTGGTTATTGGCTATCTAGGTTCATGACCATGTTGCTCTCATGTCTGCGCCTCTCTGTTCTTTCATTGCTGTTATTGTTTGTTTGTTTGTTTTTATAGAGTCTTACACTGTAGCTCAGGCTGGATTCAAACTCACCATATAGCCCAGGCTGGCCTTGAACTCTTGCCTCAGCCTCAAATATTGTAATCCCAGTTTGGCCTGGGATACAGGCATGTGCCACCACATCTGTCTGCGCCTTTGTATTCTGAGGTGGCCTTCTTACAAGAACACCAATGGTTGGATTTAAGGTGCATCTTAATCTGCTATGGCTCTACATAAATAACTAATTACATCATTAAACATCCTATTTCTAGCCTGTATTTCAACTACTCAGAAGGTTAAGTCAAGAGTATCACTTGAATCTAGGAGTTCAAGTCCAGCTTGGGTACCACAGTGAGGCTCAGTCTCAAAAACCAAACATAATAAATAACCAAAAAAGCAAGACCCTGTTTCTAGGTAAGATCGCACCCTGAGGTTGAGGGGTATGAACTTGGGAGTAGAGGGTAATGCTGTTTAACTCAGGATATGGTTACAGCCCTGGGTTTTCTAGTTTTCCTGTTGGTTCTTTTGCTGTGTTTCTCATTGTAGGGCATCTCAGACCTCTGACAAATGGGAGGTGTGGCCTAGACTTGGGGAGTAGGAAGCAGTAAGTCAGGGGATGGCATTCCAGAAGGCTGGGGACATACGCCTGCCCCAAAGGCCCCATCAGCAACAGGATTTGGTTGCTGGGGTGAGAGAGAGGCCCAGCCTCTGAGCTTCCCGTCTGCTCACCATTTCATCTGGGAAGTTTCTTAATGAGGTTTAATGGATAGGCAGAGAGGTATGGAGGTCTCATTGGGCAGCTCGCTGAATTTTCAGGATCTGAAAACCACACCCAGACTGAGAACAGGACTTGGAAGGCCCAGCCACCTCCTCATGCCCCTCACTCCTCCACCAGGGGAGCCAACAGCCATGATTCTGACTCCCTTGCCTGGTGGGCTCACTTTGGGTCCTCTTCAAATGGTCTAGTGTTTGAGTGGAGTCTGCTGATGACAGTCCACCCCAAAGCTTACAAAAACTGGTCATCACCTCTGTTCAAGGTTGACTGCGCTTGGTAGACGTGTAGGCCTGGTTCTCACGTGGTTACTGGTCACCACCTTCCACAAGCTCCTGTTGGTCCAAATTCTACCCAGTGGTTGGCACCAACAATCACTTGGTCCTTGGGGTGCTGGATAACGATGGTACACACAGCACTCAGCACCTATGTGACTACCTGGTCTGTCATTTCCTAACTCACAGGTGGCTGCTGGAGGGGAGGGCCATGGCTGCCTCCTGGGGTGGTCACTGAGGCCTGCTGAGGGAGGAGGATCTTGGAATCCCTGTGAGTACCAGGGCAACTTTAGGACCTGTCATTCTATAATATTCTGGGGAAAGCCAGGTCATCATTGACATGTACATCTGTCCTGACACAGTGGGTCTGGTCTAGTCACAGTGGACTTTTACGTACTTCCTCCAAGGCCTAAACCCTTACCAAACAACAGGCAGACTGAAACGTCCCAGCTTTTATCTCTTCTTTAACTCATGTTCTCTGCCCATGGACAAGGAGAGGCGTGGGATCTTGTTGGGGAACCCTGCTGCTAAGGTTGTAGTCCACCATGTTGGGATAGCTCTAAGGAGCTCAGTGCTGTATGGAGGACTCCCTTTCTCAGTGGGTTGGGGGGGGGCTTCCTGCTCTCTGCCTGACCTTATCTGGAAAGTGCCTCCAAGCACAGATGCCTGGCCTTATTTGGAACATGACCTTTGGCATAGTTACCTGCAATAAAACTGCCCCCAGGTTTTTTCTATATGATAATTAGGCATTGCCCTATGGTTGGATGATAGGCTCCCCCTACCACATGTAAATAAAGCATCCTATGAACACCTATCAGCCGAAGCTTTGGTGGCCGCCTCCACCCTCTAATTTTCACTGACCCCCACTGAATAAACAAGCTGTATCACTGAAGCTGACTCCCGGAAGGGAAGGTCTTTTCCCTCATGCTCACTGGCCGTCCTGCCGTTAGTCCCTCTGCTCCACCCACAGGATCTGTGTCTCAGTGTAGGCCTAGGGGCTGGTTGGTGACAGGTCCCCTAGGCAACATCAGAGAGTCAGTCCAGTGTGGGCCCCTGAAGGGAATTCCAGGCAAGCCAAGGCCCTGGGAGGGCGGGGCTGACTGTGCTCCTGGCTCATCAATTGTAACCTTGGCAGTTTTCCCACCTGTGCAGAGGTGTGATGCTGAGTGCTCCCCACAGCCCCAAATCCAGGTCAATTCTGATTCTTCTAGCCACACAGAAGGAACCCCAGGGTTAGAAGGTCCCAGCACTCCCTCCACCCCCCAATCTGCCATGTTGGTTGCAGGGGAGATTCTGACCCTGGGAAAATTGCTCAGTTAATTTTTTTTCCTCTGTGCCTCTGTGTGCTGCCCCCACCTCTGCTTTTGTCTCCCCACTGGGTGGCCACCTACCCACTGCCCCTGTGCAGGCCTCACAGGCCTTGTATTGTGCTTCTTGGCTTGGAAGGGCCCTACTCCTGGGGGCCCAGCCAGAGCAGAGGTGGAGGGAGTGGGGCCTCTAATGAGCTGGTTCAGTCCTGGCTTGCAGGCCCAGGAGACCCTGTTTCTTTTACTTCTACCTCCAGTCTGCACGGGGACAGCCTGGAGACCTTGTGAAGCAGCCACTTTCCAGGCAGACTTGCTATGCTTCTGTGAGAAGTGGGCTGTCAAGGGAGGGGTTGCTGGCCCACAGTAGGCCTTTATAGATTGAACTGAGAGCCGTGGGTGGACAGCTAGGCCTCGGTAGACCCTGGGCTCTAAGTCGGGGGATGCTTTCCCCTCGTTGAAGCTTGGGACCCATGTGTAATGACAGAAGGTGTTTCCAGTGACATACACTGTAGGATCCAGGAGACTGGGTGGAGGCCAAGGATAAGTAGGGCCCAGGCCCAAACTACTATGCCAAGTGGGCCTCACTGTGAGTTTTCCCCATGGACCACTTACAGCTTCCCCCTCCCCACTCACTCACCCTAATTGCCTGGTGGCCCCCCAACTGGGCTTGGGCACTTCTGCCCTGAACCTGGGAGGGTCCACGTGGGGTATGATGATGACTATAGTACCAGGATCCCATCAGAGGCAGGGAGGGTGGGAAGGTTTAGGGCCCAGGCATGTCCATGACCTAGGATGGGGTCGGTCTGGGGCCTGACGCGCAGTTCAGGGAGTGAAGAGACGGAACAGACAGTGGTAGTGTTGGTGCTGTAAGTAGTGGGGTCCTGGCCTCCTCATCAGAGTGTCCGAGGCCCAGTCTAGGTGGTGCTGAGGAAAAGGCTACAGCTGTCTCCATGGCACCTACCACGTCTGCACTTGGGTTCCAGCTACATGAAGGCCACTGTTCCTGAGCTTCAGAAGGAGGTGAAATCTTGTTAGCTCTCTCTCCTGCCTCCTTGAAGCAGCCTTGGCAGGATGTGATGGTCAGTCATTATGTTCTTCCACTGGCTTCCTGAAGGCCCTGGACTTGAGAAAACTCCAGCTAGGGGTCTGGGGCCCAGGTAGCTTAGGTTGAGTCAGTCCTAGAGATAGGACTTCCAGGGATACTTGGCCAGAGCCTCAGGGGCCACTGAAGCCTGGCACAGAGGCAGAGTGCAGCGGGGTCATGGGGTGTTCACATTTCCAGTGCTGCTGCTACAAATTGCAGAAAGGTGTTTTGACATCAGGAATGCACTGTCTAGCTGCTCTGGAGGCTGCTGTACAAGACCCAGGTGTAGTCTGGGCCTGGACCTCCTGAGGCCGGGAGGATACATCTGCCCCAGGCCCCTGTCCGGCTCCTAGGGTTGCTGATGACTTTGTCGTGTAGAAGTCTCGTCCTAGTTTCCATATTCATCTTCACAGCTACAGTGTCCTCTTGTATGTGTGTCTCTCAATGTCAGATTTTTGTAAGGACACTAGTCAGCAGATGCAGGTCCACTCTGGCGACCTTACCTTAACAAACTACGTCTGCAGTGACCTTCATCTCCAGGCATCTTGACATACCAGGGGCCTGTGACTTCAAAATGTGGATTTTGAAGTGGATGCAGGTTTTGGAGAACAGTTTAGTCATGACTGGGGAAGAGAATGTTGTCCTTCCTGCTGTCATCCTGATGCAGAAATCATCTTGGGTACAGGCTGGCAGGGTGTGCCAGGGTGTGCTAAGGGCTATGTTGTATAGTTCTGACTGAAATCTAGTCCCATGTAGATAGCCCTGGGAGTTGGGGGCTTTGCTTTTCAGATTTGCTGGTGACTAAGATTTGCCTATGTCCCTTGTGGATGTGAAAATTCAGGGCGGGGTCTGCCTCAGGCCTATGGTCCTTGTGTCTCCATCAACATAGATATTTTGACTCTGACAGTCTTGGGGGTCCTGTCTGAGGTGATAGGAACTAAGTCCTCTCTGTGGGTGAGCACAGATGCTATGGGTCAGGACTCTTGAGCATAGAAATCATGGGCAGTGTGTTGGGTTGCTGGGACTTTGGTCCTCCAGTCCCTCCTGGAACACTCAGGCCTCAGCTGTGGGTGATGTGCCAATGTTCACTCAGGACTTGTCCCCGGCTCTAGGATGCTGTCTCAGCCACCCTAATCCCTGGGGTTGGGACGGGGCCTCTGTAAGGAGGGAAGAGCAGGCGGACAATGTAATGCCTTAAGGGGGACAAGTTAGGGGACAGGCTCGTGGGCTCTGGTTATAACAAAACTACAAGACATTCACTGTGTGCCAACTGGAGAGGAGAAGCTTGGATGTACTTGGCTACGAGTGCCCCATCCTTCAGGACAGTGAGCATGCTCCACACAATCACCCTGATGAGCTGTGCGGGCACCAAGAGATGAGGACAGGATGTGACAGGATGCCCTATAGTGTAGCTGCTTTGGAGGCATACATGTGCTAGACAGGGAAGGAAGACCACAGGATATGGGTCCCTGGAACAGGAAGTGTTGTGACCCAAAGTGTGACTGTTATTAGGAAGGAGCCACCAGAGGCAGGCCAGGCCTTGGCAGTACCCTCTGGCATCTGTGGACCCACCACGAAGAAAGAGGGACAGAGATCCCTCTGTGCCCATAAGTAGGCTTCGGTCCCCTCCAGTGTGGCTTGCCTGGAGCCTTCTCAGGACCAGGCTTCCTACTTTGGGGTACAGGCCAGATAGTCAGGGTCCTGTAGCATAGCACTAACTAACCCTGTTGCCTGTGTCCCCTGCAGCCATTGTCAACCCCAAACAGCCCAAGGAGACGCCCAAGAGCTTCAGCTTTGATTACTCCTACTGGTCACATACCTCGGTGAGTTGGGCCTGGGGAAATGCAGGCTGGCTCAGCTCTGGTAGCTGTGCAGCCCTTGGGAGTCCTGTGATCTCCCTTAGCTGAAGGGTCCCATCTAAGATGGGGTGAAGATTCTACCCTATTCTCTCAGAAGGTCACTCTGAGCTGGTTGCTCCGCCTGTGGGGACCAGGTTTCCTCCTTCTGTTCATTGTGCTGTTTCTCAGGGTCAGAGCTGTGAGTCTCTACTTTTGTCAACTCTCCTGCTTTAGACAGTCCAACCTCAGAAATCCCAAAAGCTTGGCATCCTGTAAGCTGAGAGCTGGGGGACCCTGGATTCCTCCCTTCCCAGCTCCCACATCCAGTCCATGCCAAGGCCCACTCATGGCTCCACCCTGGAATCCTTCTAGAAGCATCCCTTCAAGCTCCCTGGCTACTGTGTCTCTCTGAATGTGGCCCTCAGCATCCCCTCTCCCACTGAATCCTTCTCCACAATCATACCCTTTGGCCTGACCATGCTGTTCCTCTGCCCTTCCAGATACCATAGCCCAGCCAGAAGGCTCCCCAATTCCATGACTGCCTCCTTTCAGCTCCAGCTCTTGCTGAACCCACTACTGTCACAGGCACTGACTGGGTTGAAATCCTACCCCTGGATCTTTACACGTGCTGCTTGCTCTGCTGTGACCCCTTCTCCCTGCCCCCATCCATTGGCCAGCCACTCTCTGTCTCACATAAATGACTCAGAGGGCCCCTCAGGAAGCCACTCCCAAGCAGGATCAGGATGACACTACAGCACAGCCTTTCTCTCTTGGCCCCACTTGGGCTTGAGGACTTGGTGGGCAGAGCATGGAATCCATGGGATCCTGCAGCCACATCTCTTCTTTCTGCAGCCTGAGGATATCAACTATGCATCACAGAAGCAGGTCTACCGGGACATTGGGGAGGAGATGCTGCAGCATGCTTTCGAGGGCTACAACGTGTGCATCTTTGCCTATGGGCAGACGGGGGCTGGCAAGTCCTACACCATGATGGGCAAGCAGGAGAAGGACCAGCAGGGCATCATCCCACAGGCACGGGCAGGGCCTGGAGAGGGTGGTGGGAGGGCAGGCTGAGGGGGGGCAGGGCAGGAGGGAAGTAGGTGGGTTGAAGGAGGGGCCTCAGCCTTTGAGTGTGCCCACCAGAGGAACATCCACAAAACAAGGTACTAGCTGGGCGGCTGTTCTCTGTGGGAACTAGGAGGGCTGGGGATATGTGACAGGTGCCCAAGAAAAGAGGTGACCATGCTGAGAGACATACAGGTGGCTCCTTAGATGCCACTCAAAGTCTGATCTCTCCCAGATTTCCTCTCCTCCCAATATGTCTCTGGATCCAAGCTGGCCAGCACTGTCCTAGTCTGGGAACGAGAAATCCTGGGTCAGTGACCCAGGGTCTCTATGTAGACAAGGACAAGATGACAAGCAGATGGTCCATACGAACCAATCAGACACCAGCCAGGTATCTGGAATTAGATGCTGGAATTAGAACATAGGCTGTTTGGATGCAGGCCTTTTCAGTGCCTTTATGTTAGAGCAGAGCATCACTCTGAGTACAGGCTGCCCACCACACCTTGAGAGACAGGGCTCCAGGCCACCAGCCCTCATCAGCTGACATGTCTCCCTCCATCCTTGCAGCTCTGTGAAGACCTCTTCTCTCGAATCAATGACACAACCAATGACAACATGTCCTACTCTGTGGAGGTAGGGTTTCCTGGGGGCAAGGCTGGGGAATTCTAGGTGTGGTCAGTGATGCTCTTCTGATTTAAAGTCAGTCCCTACCCCATGTGATGACCATGCCAGCATGCCTATATGGGACTTGGGGACTCTTAGAGCTCAGGGGTGATAGGCAGTCATCCCCTGGTAGGTCTTTATTGAGTAGCTGCTTACTCTTCCCAGGGTAGGGGTAGGAATCCTAGAGCTGCTTATCCTGGGCTATACTATGGCTGAGGTAACCCCAGTGTGATCACAGGGACTTGTGTTGTGTGTCAACTCCCAGGATGGCCCTGAGTGGAGAAGGCCTGGGTAGGTGGAAGCCAGCTAACACTGGCTGGGTGCCTTCTGTGTGCCCTGCCTAGCCCTCTTCCCTGCCTCAGGGTCCCTGCCAGTGTAATTTGGTCCTGTAGGTCAGCTACATGGATAGAAGGCTAGCCAGGTGGAGGTGGACCAACACTCACCCTCACAATCACACAGAAGCCACTGGCTGGGTGCCTACTGTGTCCCCTGCCTGGAAGACAGCTCCCTGCTCTGCATCAGGATCTCAACAGTGCAACTGAGCCTCCAGTTGGGATCCTGATGGTATGGATTTACAGGTTAGCTACATGGAGATTTACTGTGAGCGAGTCCGTGACCTCCTGAACCCTAAGAACAAGGGCAACCTGCGAGTGAGGGAGCACCCGTTGCTGGGGCCTTACGTGGAAGACCTCTCCAAGTTGGCTGTCACCTCCTACAATGACATCCAGGACCTCATGGACTCAGGGAACAAGGCTAGGTATGCCTTGTTCAAGACTTGCTCACATCCCTTACCGGGCTGCAGCTGCAGTCTCTAGGGAAGCCACTCTCACCTGGTTTGGTCCTCTGGGCACTGTTGGCCTCCTGATGGGTCTGTGTGGTGGCCCCTGAGGAGGTATAGGCCTCATGTGCCAGGCCACTGAGGAGATGTGCCAGCCTGAGACAGGCCTTGGCTCCCACCTGCTTGAGGGCTGCTCCTCTGAGCATGTGGGCTCTGTGACTGTCACCTCCCTCAGTAGGCCCTGGCAGCAGCACCAACATCATCTGCTCACTGTGGGACCAATCTCTGTGCCCCAGGGCAGCAGTTCCATCAGGGTCAGGTGTCTAGAGACCGTGAGGGCCAGCATGCTGGCCATAAGCAATCCACCTCCCTTGGTCTGAGATGCTCTGGTGGTTAGAGTGGTCCTCCTCTGACACCCAGAGATAGCTCCATATTGGTGAGTTGATCGCCCTTGCTCCTGAGGTGGGGGTGCTGAACTACCTTGGCAGCCCCCCAGGGCAGTTCATGATGGAGACTTTCAGTGTACCTGAGGAACACTTGACCCTTTTATCCCAGAGGAAAGCTTTGGGCTGTTGCAGAGAACTCAGTCTTGGGAGATTCTATGAAAACTCTGGCAGGTTGGAGCAGTGGGGATCTATCCAGGCCCTTCTCAGGCAGCTTTGGGTTCTTTGCCTCTGAAGGGCCATGTCATTGACCCATGTCACCATTTATGTGGAGTATGGCTACTGGGGACATAGTATGCTCTTTGAGCTCCCCAGAGCACGTGGCGTGGCGTGGGATGAGTGGTGGACACATTTCCCTTCCAAGGGGCGAGGTCCTGGGAGTACTTCTGTTCAATTGGATGGTTCTGGGCCTCGGAGGCAGGAAGCACCTCCTGAGACACTGTACCACCAACGGTGCAAGGCATTGGCTGAGGGCCGAGCACCTCTGTGGTAGACTGGAAGGTCGGGGCTGGGCTTGAGCTGTGACAAGAGGTGCAATCACATCCAGGCTGGAGAATCTGAGGTCCGATGACCTGGATGAGTATGCCAGCACCACCAGTGAGCCTCTTCCCTGACCACTGGGTGAGGGACAGATAACTTCAAGTGGCTTCCTGTTCTGTTCCCAGGACGGTGGCAGCCACGAACATGAATGAGACCAGCAGCCGTTCTCATGCTGTCTTCAACATCATCTTCACCCAGAAGCGCCACGATGCAGAGACCAACATTACCACAGAGAAAGTGAGCATGCTGAGTGGCCTGGGTCGGCAGGTTCCGCCAACAGTGGTGACTGTGTTTGGACTGGTGGCGGGAGGAGTTACAGTGGTGTCTGTGGGCCTCTGACACAGTCTGGTAGACACGGGCCTCCCACTCTCCCCGGATAGGTGGGGCCCACATTGGGAACCGGGCATCTAGTGGGTCTTGGCATCAGTTTCCATGTCCCTTCAGGCCCTCCTATGCAAGCCTCTTCTTAGCCTCCTGGGGAGGGAGCTCTGCAGAGGGGCCAAGCAGAGTCCATGTCAGCCCCTAATGGTGCTGGGGCACCTTGGTCTGGTACCATGCTCTTGACTGTGTCCCTGTGAAGTAGCAAGAGGTTCAGGAAGGCATAGGAGAGCCAGGGCCAGCAGGGAAGCCAAGCTCTCACTGCCAGGGTCTCTGATGGGGGCCCTATGGTGTCCAGAATCTGGTGAGAAGATGCTGAGCCTTTTGGGGGCCATGTGACTACCTCCCTTCAGGGACCCTGTCCAGGGCTCCATGAGGCAGTTCAGCAGCATCCAGGACCTTTCTTGGACCTGGGTTCAAATCCCCCCACAGATGATTAGTGGCATCTGTGGAAATGGGTGATGGTGCCCGACTCTGTCCTGCGTTGCTCTATGAAGAGTGTCTAGCCTAAGGAGGCCAGGTTGTGGGGGGAGTGCACAGTTTCTGGGGAAGTAGTATGGTATCTTACCATGACAGAACCTTGAAAAAGCTGTGAACAGAGGTGTATAAGGAAATTGGGGGGATCAGAGGTGGCAGGACCCTGGGGAGTAGTGTGCCCATAGCTCCTCGAGTGGCCTATGGGGTTGTCCCCAGAAGGAGAGGACACCCCAGAGCGGCACAGCATTAGGAACTTGCGGTAGGAGACTGCATTTATTGTATTTGCCATTTCAGGTGAGCAAAATCAGCCTGGTGGACCTGGCTGGCAGTGAGCGGGCTGACTCCACGGGAGCCAAAGGCACACGACTCAAGGTAGAGCCAGGCTTATCACACCAAGGAAGAGAAGTGGGCCCAGCCCAGCCCCATGTCCAACACGGGATGCTCTGAGGAGGGCTGAATGGGAGGGTTGTTTGGGGCTGGAGCAGGATTGGACCACCACCAAAGGCAAGCTTGAGTAGGGAGAGTGGGGTACACAGGCCAGAGCCTTTGACCGCCAGTGGAGAGAGTGTCACTCTTGGTACACCAGCACAGGTAAACAAGACAGAGACCCAGACAGAGAACAGGCTCCTGGTGGCCCTCATCATGCCTCATACCAGTAGTTTCTGTTTCCCACCTGTCTAATTTGTTTTCTTTTGCTGTGATAAACACTGACCAAAAGCAACTTGGAGGAGGAAAGGACTTATTTGGTTTACAGGTTATAGTCTGTCATTGAGGAAAGCCAGGGCTGGCGCTCAGGGGAGGAACCTGGAGGCAGGCGCTGAAGCAGAGACCATGGACGAAGGCTGTTTACTTGCTTGCTCCCTCTGGTTTGCTCAGCTATCTTTCTTATTCAGCCCAGGCCCACCTGCCTAGGGATGGTACTGCCAAGCCCGAGCTGAGTCCGCCTACAGAAATTAACAATTAAGAACTAAATGCCCTCACAGCCATGGCCACAGGCCAATATGCTCTGGGGAATTCCTCGACTGAGGTTCCTCTTCCCAGGTGACTCTGGATTGTGTCAAATTGACAACTAAAGCTATGTGTGACGCCACCCAGAGAAGCACAGGCTGTGCGGCGGCAGTAGGCTGACTGGCCAGTGCCCCAAGGGTACGCCCTCCTGAAAATAATCTTGTGTGTTAGTAAGGAAGACTTTTATTTTCCTGAGTGTCACTCACCTTTGACCCATGTCATGATTTGTTGGTTGGGAAGGACCTCTGGAAGTTGTACTGTGTGGGGACGTGTGAGGTATAAGGTGCTGATGGAGCTGAGCAGGAATATTGGGCCTCTGACTGCCTGCCCCAGCATCCTCAGTGCCTAGTACCTTCAGAGGTCAGCTTCAGGGCCTGGTTTCTCAGCCCCATGCCACACAGGCCAGGCCCCAAGGGGTCATGCTGGAGCAGAAGGCTCCAGATGCTTCCTGCATCCTGACTACCATCTCCATTCACAGGAGGGAGCCAACATCAACAAGTCTTTGACCACCCTGGGAAAGGTCATCTCTGCTCTGGCTGAAATGGTGAGCTGGTTCCTGGCTTCTGGAGCTAGGTTGGTGGGATAGACTGTAGAGGTGATCTCTCACCTGATCTCAAGGAAGGTGCTGTGAGCCTGTCAATGCTTGTTCCCAGGCACTGTCCAGTGAGAGCTGGGGTTCAAGGGAAGACTCAGAGATGAGGGGATGTCACAAAGCTAGAGATGGAATAGCAACCCCTATTACTCTCTGGAACATCCCCACCTTTAAAACGAGGATATGTCTTCATCATAGGGCCCTTCTGAGGGTTACCACAAGCCACAGTAGCTGACAGTTAACTGACATCCTTGTGGATGGGTAAGGCAGTGGTCAGCTCTGTGGGCCTGATACAGGCCATCCTCTAGGGGGAGCTCAAAGCCCTTGGAGGTAAGGAATTAGGTTTGACATGTCCTGCAGGACAGGCAGCTGTGCCTACTCCCCAAGATGCCCAGGGAAGAACAATTCTCTCGAGATCTTACCCTATTCTGAAATTATCGAGGGTACAGGAATAGGGCTGTGTGACAGCAGCCCAAGAGGTCACAATCTTATTCAATTTGCCTATCATGACTGGCTTAGGGTGGCCAGCCATCTGGGTAGTAGATGATGGCATGTACTCAGGCTTCTGCCTGAAATTTGGCTCTCTTGAGCCAGCAGCTAGCCTGTCCTCCCTGTCCCCAAGCCCTCGAGCCCCAGCCTTACGCCAGGGTCTCAGACACTTTCTGTCCTTTCTTTTTCAGGACTCTGGACCCAACAAGGTGAGCTGGTTTCTTTAATCTCAAGGGAGGTGGCTTGGCCCCAGCTCCCCTCTGTGCAGACCTCAGCAGTGAAGTTCACAGTTCACTTAATGAGGAAGCACAGAGTCTACTTCTGAGCTAGGACTTGTCCCTGAAGCCAGGGCTGAGGGTAAACAACACAAATGTGGCTTCACAGTTTTGGAGGCAGAGTAAACACAGAAACAGAAACATAAAAATGTTAGCAGCTGTGTGGGAAACTGAAGAACTGAGAATTGTGTAAGTATTGATGGGAGGACTGTTTGAGGAACTGTAAGAAACATTTTAGGGAAACGCACGAGGCACCGAGTGGCAGACTGCGCGCGGAAATCTGTGTGGAGAATTGTCAAGAATTCTGTGTGAAGCTGTGTGAAGATCTGGGTGAAATCGTATGAAAAATCGTATAAACTGGGAAAGGAATTACTTGTGGAATTATAGGGGAACCGTGGGATGAATTGTGACAAATTGTGAGCAGCTGTGTAAGGAACTTTTGGGGGGTATCGTGAGGAATTTGAGGAACTTCAAAATGAACTATGTGACGATACGGTGCGCAAGGAACTGCGTGGGGAAGTGAGAAACCGCAGGATTGTGTGATGAACGGGGGGCGACTGAGATGTGAGGAACTAGGAATGGAATTGTGCGGAACTCTGCGGCTCCGTGTGGAGCACTCTGGGAACTCTGTGAGGAATGGTGTGTTTAACTGTGAGGGACTGAGCAAGGAGCAGTGAGGTACGGGGGGCGGGGGGAGTATGCAGGAGGGAAGTTGCATGAAGAACTATGCTAGAAACTTCTAGGAATGGAGTGAGTTTCTGAGTTGCTTATTGAGTGACATCACCTGGAGTGGGAGCATGAGGGACCTGTAGATGGTGAGACAGGACAGTGGTCTGCGGGCAGATGCCAGGCCCTTGGTCCTCAGTCAGACTTTGGTTGGTTGTGGTTTAGTAGGAAGCAGTAGATGGGTTGTCAGCAATGCTAAATCAGATTTAATCTGGACCGTGCTCAGGCATGAGCTGTAGACTGGGGGAGGGATGGCCTGGCCCGGCAGTCAGCAGAAAAAAGTCAGCGTGGCAGTGATCCAGGCTTGACGTGTAGGTAGGAGCTGAGTGGGCAGAGGAGAGAGGGTGGTTCTGGGAGATGGAGGACCCTGACTGGACAGGGGCTGCCAGTGGCTGGAATGAGAACAGTGGATTCATAGGGGATGAGTGATTGCAGAAATATACTGTGGAACCAAGAAACAGACACGTGGCAGAGAATTCAGCCTCAGGAACTAAAAACACCAGCACACAAGCAGAGACAGTTTTTCTCCTGCTGAGTCTCCAGAGGGGAAACGAAGTATCCAACATTGATGAGCTTTGGAGAGCGGCTGGATGTGCTGCTCAGAGAGCCTGCCGTGCGTTTCTGAAGTCCACCCTGATGGTGGCTTAAGAGCTTTCAATGCTCCCTGCCAGCTGGTGGCACTTTTCCCGGGAATCTTCCTGAAGAGCAGAGATGGGTGTGCCTGCCCAGGGAAATGGAACAGCCCTGTGGTGGCACCTTCTCCCAGGGTGTAGACTCCAGGGACCAGGGGCCATGTCTGCAGGATACGACAAATGCAAGATGAACATGTAGACATTAGCATTCACAAAATTATGAGTATCCACAAGAAGTGGTTCCAAGCAGCCATTACCTAGGATGTCCCTATTTTGAGTGGCTACTGTTTGCCTTAATAGATAAATAAAGAGCCACGAGGGTCAGTCAAGAGTAGGGAGGATGTCTGTGCTGAGGGAGAGGACAGAGAACAGACTGTTAAAGCAGGGACTGTGAGCTGGTTTCTGGGGGACAGGAAGAGTTTAGTGAAGAGATGGAAGCGGGGTGGGCACTGGCAGAGGCCACAGAGGGCCCGAGTGCCTTATTTAGTGGTGGACCCTTTTCCGGTTGATCAAGGGGGTTGCTGTCCTGGCGGAGCAGAGGGAAGACACACCAGCCAGTGACTGACTTCTGGGCTCGGGTCCAGCAGAGTGGCCCAGACATAGCAGGGGTGGGTGAGGGAGGAACCCAAAGGATATTCCAGCATAGCCCTGATTCTGGTCCAAGGAGGAGTTGCCTGGAGGTGGTGTCCCAAGATTCAGTTGAGGGGGAGATGGAGGTGGGCCTGAGAGCATGGCATTTGCCTCTCTCCCTCCTGTCCCTTCCCTTCCTGCCGGCTCAAAACAGACCTTGATTGTCCCCACAGAACAAGAAAAAAAAGAAGACTGATTTCATCCCTTACCGAGACTCTGTACTGACCTGGCTCCTCCGGGAAAACCTGGGTGAGCATATGCTGCTGGTTCTATGGTTGTTGGCTTTGACATCTACCCTGTGCCCATCTCCTTGTGGGGAAGAAAACGCTGCTCAGCCACAGTGAGGCCTCTCACTTTTTCCAGGCTGAGGTAACCCTGGAAGGACCAGCTAGGTCAGAGTACAGCCCTTCTGGAAGACCAGAGGCAAAGTGGGCAAACCAAAGCAAGTCTGGGGACCTGGGATGACCCTCAGGACCTGCAGAACACAAGCCCTGGTCACCGCCCTCTTGGATGAGCTTTTTAGTGACACCCAGACCAAGCACCCACTGTCCTCTGGATCTTAGTTTCCTATCTGTAACGGGGACCTGGCACTTGATTCTGGGAACCCTGCTTACCGGCGGGTTTTGAAGGGCCCAAACCCCTTCCTGAATTCAGATTGGGGATAGATGAGGTCACAAAGGCTGAAGCACTCCCAGCACAAAGCCTGTCCTTTCCAAAATGTCCTCAGGGCCTTCCCTGGCTATGTTTATGGCTGGAGAACCTGTTACTCAGGGAGGTAAACTGAGTCTTAGGTGGGGGTATCCGGCAGCTGCATGGGTCTACACCCCAGAACTAGCTAGGCTGATCCCTAGCTCAGGCCAGCATCAGGGAGCACCTGGGGTGGGGGTGGAGGGGCAGTGAGAGGACAGGAAACCCAGATCCTTCACCTGAAATGTGGACTGTGAAGCAGGCCCTTCCCACGGGGCCCTGATGAGATTTGACCCTGGAGGAGGGTCTCAGGGGACACCCCCCATATTCTTGGGGTCTGTGCACAAGCTCTTCTCACTGTTCACTTCACAGTCTCTGTAGGAGGCTCACAGGAGAGCTACACCCCAGGAACGTGGCCCCAAGGACACAGTTCTCTGAGGTCAGGCAGGCAACAGCATGGACTGGAGTGTGGACAGGTGGCAGTCCTGAGGACTGCAGCAGGGTCAGAGGGTGACCTGGTCAGGACCACTGAGCCTAATGACCCCAAAGGATTCACTCTCCAACACTCCACAAGGAGCTCAAGAACCACTAGTCTCTGACAATAACTGAACTGGTCTAGTAATAAATATTGAGGAAAACATTTCAAATGGAGATGATAAAAATGGGTGGAAAAAAATACTACCACAAATCTTAGGGTAAACTCTGGAAAATCCTCCGTAGCTTGCCTCTCCTGTGGGGAAAGGGTGGCCTGTGGTTGTAAAATGGTCAAATGAGAGATGAGGGGCAGCAAAGGAAGGCCCACCCCACCACCATCTACACAGCACAGGCCTGTGAATCCTCTCTCGGCCTCAGCATCTCTACTTATAGATACAGTCCCTTGGTACAACCTGGTTGTTTCCCACAGGTGGCAACTCAAGGACAGCCATGGTAGCAGCCTTGAGCCCTGCAGACATCAACTATGACGAGACCCTCAGCACACTGAGGTATGTTCTACATGAGCCCTGCCCTTGGGGTGGGAACATGTCTTTCCGTGCCCCAGCCAAGAGCACCAGTTGTAGGGGGTGCCTTTGGGGGGGCATTCACAGGAACTCTGAGACCAACAGTGGGTATTCTGGAGGTCCAAGCCTCTAGTGGACCCTGTTTTGTTCCCATTATCCTTTAGGGTACACTTCAAGGCTGCAGGTGGCCTGGGGTCCCTGTGGTACTAGACTAAAAGCTATACTGATGGCTGTGGAAGTAGGAGACTTTCAGTTAGCAAATGGGGCCCAAGTGGCTCTCCCCAAATCTCCCACTGCAGGTGGGCATTCTGAGGTGGGAAGCCTTGGTGCAGAAGGCGGCTTGATTGTTCAGGTTGGGGGTGTCTGTTCTCTAGTAAGCATGTACTTTCTGTGTAAAGTGGAGTTTATGTCACGGCATAGTCACACGTGCTTCTGGGGTGGCAAATGTGTACTCATCTGCTCCCATATGTGCGTGTCCATTTTCACATGCACCTCTATCCTCTACCCCTGTGCTAGATTCACCTCCTACTACCCTGGACCATCAGGTTCAAGTCTAAGTGTCTCCAAATGGAGTAGGACTATGTGCCTTCTGCCCCTGGGCCTCACTTCCTAAGTGGATAGGGCAGGCTGGAGCACCCCACCTGCAGGTCTTCTTTGCTCAGTGGTCTCAGGGGCTGTTCCTAGGGACCTGTAGTCGGGGAGATTTCTTACTCTACCAGACTGGGTCAAAGCTTAGTCCCCCAGCTGGACTGATTCCCAGGTAGAGCTCTGGGCACCCCTAGGCCTTCTATATAGACCTGTCTCTCAACCCCTATACCCCTTTGCTGCCCAGATATGCAGACCGGGCCAAGCAAATCCGCTGTAATGCCATCATCAATGAGGACCCTAACAATAAGCTGATCCGAGAGCTGAAGGATGAAGTAACTCGGCTGAGGGACCTGCTGTACGCCCAGGGTCTTGGTGATATTACTGACAGTGAGTGTCCATGCTAGCCTGCCCTGGATAGGGGTGGGGTAGGTGCTCAGGCTCAGGGACCTATTGGGCCTCATGTCCTCTCTTCTGGGACTGCCTCCAACCTGTGTCCTGCTGATTGTGGCCACAGCTCTGGGGGAGGTGTTGAAGCTGCTTGAAGTCTCATCCCTCCTCCAGCTCCTGGGCAGAATGCCTTGGGGTGGGAGGCCTGGACAGGCAAGGGCACAGCCAAGTTTTCTGGCCTTGGCCTGGATGGACTGCATGGTTTGGGTTTGGATCTGGCCCAAACAGGCCAGAGATGGTTTCCTGGAAGCCCACAGGCCAACTATAGGTGCGGGGATTTTGGTGGGTCCTCTGTCCCTACACCGAAGACCTATGTCACCCTGCCTATAACTATCAGCCCTGTGATGTGGGTACACGGACCCTTGGGAGACAAACTGCTCTGTTTCTCTGTCTCTCTTCCTCCCCCGCCTGCCTTCCCCATAGCCAACACTGTGCCCGGAGGACCCAAATGTGTGTATTCCCCACTGCTCTGCATCCCTGCTTCCACCCCGGCCACGGGGGCCACAGGGCAGCACGGGTGGGGAGGGAGCTCCCATTGCCTCCTCTGCCTCCCCTCCTTCAGCACTATAAAGCAACAGTCCTCCCCCACCCAGGCACTACTGGGACATGGGGGATTGTATTATGTCTCTGAGTCATATTCCTGGTTCATCCCCATCTGTTATGAGAAACGGAGACAACAGGGAGGCAGAATGCAGCCAAAAGTGGCTGGGGCTAGACCCCTGAGCACCCTTAGGCCTGAAAAGGTCAGCTGTTAGAGCCCGAGGACCAGGAGGACCAGAGGACTATCTGACCTCCTGGCCCTGGCCTACTGCTCTGCTCCAGCTATCCCTATACCTGAGGTGCTGGAAGCTTCTTGAGGCTGAGTGTAGCAATGGTTGCTGCTGAATCCTGCCCCATAGTGTCTCCTCTGGCCTGGACCTGGACCCTTAGGGTTTGGTACCTCCCCAATGCCCAGTGCTGTCCTGTGTTGGCCGCTGCTCTGCTGTGTGTCTGCTTCTTCTGGGAGGGGCCTGGCACCTCCCCTCCAGGTGTCACAGCCCAACTCCCCAGCTTTAGGGGTGGTAGAGCCCTGGGGTGGTGGAAGAGTAGGGACTCCTTTGGGCAGGTCCTCCACGCACCTTCTCTAGGTAGTCTGTGGATCCATTCTGGGTTCAGGGGGATGAGTAATACAGCCTGGCCTGCAGCTCAGAGGTGTAACCCATTCACAGAGGGTAAGCATCAGGGGTTCTGGGTATAGGGAGGACAGGTACTTGAGAGAACCCAGGTGAGCTCCTGGCCTCAGGTATAGGGGTTGTGAGCTGGCTAGCAGGCCTGAGCCCTGGATGCAGGTGCAGGGGCTGCAGAAAGGCCCTGGTCCAGGGTAGAGTGGAGTGGAACTCCAGAGGATGCACAGGGGCTGAGTGATACTGCAGGGAAAGAGGGCCTGTGGGCCAGGCAGGTGGACAACAGGATGAGGGTAGCAGAGGCCTTGCATGCGCTTGTCCTGGGCAGCTGGGCCAGGCTGCTGTCCCTTGCCTGTGGTTCCTGTTTCTTACCTTCTCCTGACCCCACCTCTGGCTTTCCCCAGATGCATCTTTTTTTTTCTCCTTTCTGTCTTATCTTGCCTTCCCTTCAAGCCATAGATGTGTCCGACCGACCTTAAGAACAGTAACCATAACTGTGGTGGGGCCAAGCTGAGCCAAGCCCCTGACAATCTCTCCACAGTGACCAACGCCCTGGTGGGCATGAGCCCCTCATCCTCACTCTCAGCCCTGTCCAGCCGTGCAGCCTCCGTGTCCAGTCTCCACGAGCGCATCTTGTTTGCCCCAGGCAGCGAGGAGGCTATTGAAAGGCTGAAGGTGAGGGCCACCTTGTTCAGGGCACCCCTGGGGGCATAGGAAAAGTGAGTTTAGATAATTGAGAGAGGCCTTCACCTGTGGCCCCTCGTATCCCTCGGGCACAGCCTGACCTTGAAGGGCCAGAGTAAGATACTAGTAGAAGTATCTGGCGTATGGCCACCCTGGTGAACTGTGGCCTATCCCCAGCCCACCACAGCAGCCAGGATGGCCAGGGCCTTCAGGCATCAGACTGCATAAGAATTGGCCAATGTGTAGAACTTCTGGGTAGAAAGTGTCCATGGACCTCTCTGACTGGATGACCTTGACCCAGCATGAGGGAAGCCTCAAGTGAGCCATGCCTAGGTTCAGGTTTCACATGGGTAGCACTGGTGCAGTGGCCAGGGGGTGGGAGGTCCTGTCCTAACAGCACCTCCCCAGTGCTGTTGTAGGTTTTGGCAGCTTTGCCTGGCACCCTGCAGAGCTGTCCACACTGGGCCAGGGATAGGTTGAACACCTGAACAGCTATGAACTACGGGGAGGGGCTGCCTGTCCCCCCTCTCCCATGATTCCCTGGTCTCCAACACTAGACTTGGCTAGGGATGGCTTTTCCAGCTTCATATCCCCACAGAATGCAATGTCGCCTAAGCAGACACCCCAGACCCTAGGGGCTGAGGGGCCAAAGAGACAAGGGACAGAGGCTAGTGTGAGGAGTGGTTATAGGGTAACCAAGGAGCAGGGGGCACAGACCCTCCCAGGGGATGGGGATTTGGGGGACCACCTGGAATGTGGGGACCCCTAAGTGGGGAGGAAACAGGGAGATGGTGCCAGTGCTGAGAAATGTCACCGTGTTCCAAGAGGAGACCACTAGGCTCAGGAGCTGCTACCAGTGTCTTCCAGGGTATCTACTTCCTCTTCTCTCCTGACTTACCTACTTTCCTTGTTTCTGGGCTGTGTTCATAGGAAAGACTCATGCCCCTTGGACTTCCCCTTGATGCCTTAGAATATCACCTGCCTGGAATGTCCCAGGAGTTTGAACCCAGTGCTTGGCAGCCCCTTTCATGGCTCCCTTGTGGTCTTCAATGTCTGCAGTCCCCACCCCCCACCTGCACTGGGCTCTCATTGTGATCTGTCTCCCTCCCCAGGAAACAGAGAAGATCATTGCTGAGCTCAACGAGACCTGGGAAGAGAAGTTACGGCGGACAGAAGCCATCCGGATGGAGAGGCGAGCAGGGGGAAACAGGCCTGAGGGGTAGTTGGCATAGCCAGAGAGCCCTGGCTCCAGACCTAGGATCCCAAACCCTGGGGCAATTGCATTCCAGCCCTGGGGCAACCTAGGCACCTGACTTGTGTGGCACTGGCCACTGAAGCCTGACAGGGCTCATCCCTGGAGAGCACATCCCACCAGTGGGTACTGCCCCGGTGCTACTGATAACTCCCGGCTGGTCAGGCAGAGTGACGCTAGTCCTGGAAGCCTCTAGCTTGTGCCAACCCCAGCTCTTTCTTCTAGGGAAGCCTTGCTGGCTGAGATGGGCGTGGCCATGAGGGAGGATGGTGGAACCTTGGGTGTGTTCTCTCCCAAAAAGGTAGGAACTGGGCCATGGTGCTGTGCCAATGTGGACAGGGTAGCAGTGCCTCCTGTGGAGGTCATAGGGGCATCTTGGGAGAAGTAGTAGTGGAGCAGGGGTCTGGCCCAGGCATGAGGCAGCCTCCCTCAGACTTTGTTGTGTGGTGGGACATCTTAGTGGTCAGATGACATCACTTGGGTTCTGAGCTGCCTGAGATACAGACTGGTTCTCCCAAGGTTAGAATGAGAATGGAGTGGGGCATGCCCAGACTGGAGAGCTGAGTTGCATGGGCATGGTCCCACCCTGAGCCTGTACTGCCCCTGGAAGCTTTTGGTCGTCATAACTAGAGCAGCTGCACCGGCTGGAAAGCTAGCCCTTGTGTGGTAGAACGGCAAAGCCCAGCCATAGCTAGTAGCCAAGCGTGCCTCTTTGTCAAAGAAAGGATGCTTTAGGAAAGACTGGGCTAGTGGCCTGGACATCTGACAGGGCCAGACACCTGTAGGTCAGCTTTCCTGGATATAACTGTCCTGTCTTGGATGGGGACTGCTTGGGATGATGCCTGGTGGACTGGGGTGGGGCTATGAAGGGAGGCCTTGGTAGAGGGCCCAGGTATAGGTGTCTAGGTGTCTCTGTGGGTTCTAGCCAGGCCATGCAAACCACTGTGGGGGGCCAATTCATAGCAAACAGACAGAGGGGTTCACTTAAGTTTCCACACTATGAAATATGTCAGAGAGCCTTTTGGCCATCACACATGTCTCTGACTTCCAAGTCTGTGTGTCACCAGGGAGCTGCCAAAGTCCAATGAGGCTTGCTGCTGTCAGAACATCAGCTGCCTGGTAGAGTCCCATTCAGTGGGGACTGGTCATGAGGGCAGTCTTCTCTGTAACCAAAGCTTGCAAGGAGCTTGACAAGCAGTGATCCGGTTGGGGACCCATGTGAGAAGCTCAGCATTCCTGGAACTCAGGAGATGAGAAGTGGGCGGGTTTGCTGGGTCACCATAGTGTAGTCTCCACTCGGCCCTTCCTGGATGGACAGTTGGAGATGGTCTGTGCTGATGGACAGGACTCCATACTCTTGCTCTGGGGGTATCAGAGACTTATAACTTAGTATGGCATTGGCTCACGCCAGGATGCACTGTGGGAAACAGGAAGCAACTGTGCCTAGCACTTCCTTGTTGCAGGATTCCTGTCTGGGACACGGGTGGCTCCTCAGCTTGGGGTGGGGGAGGGGAGGACCCCGAGGCAAGTGTGACCTGGGACAGGAGACAAAAGTGTGTCCTGGAATGGGGAAGCTAACCTCCAGGCCCCAAGTGGCCCAGCGAGGATTCCTTCATCAGCAGGTTCTTCCCAGGCCCCCTCCCTGGCCAGGGCCCTCACCCTGCTTGGTGATAGACTCTCATTGGAGAACCTGCAGTTCCCAGCTTGTTCCACTGAAATAGGCTCTGGAGTACTAACGTATAGTCCAGAGCCACATGCCCAGGACCCTCGGGATGGGGTAGAGGTCCAGCTCTGGAACCCAACCTGTGCCCTACACACCCAGGGCCCAACACAGGCTCCATATGAGCCTCACCTGGGGCCTCCAGGAGCTGAGGGATGGGTCTCCTAGGCCATCCTACAGCCTAGCTCCCCATTAAGTACCCAGCTACTTAGCTGGCCCCGCCCAGCCTTCTGTTGTCGGTGGACTAGGCCCTGAGCTTTCTTTGTGTCCACATTTTTCCTGACATGGAGCTACCAGCATAGTGAGGCCAGCTGAGCTGGGGGCTCTGGAGGCTGGGTATCCTTCTCAAAGCTCCTCGGGCATCCTTTTCCTTCTTTTCTTTTATCTTCTTTGCCAGGCTGGGGAGGGCACTATGTGCTTGACAAGCCCAGGCTTAGGACTGGTAGTGATCTAAGGCCTGAACAGAGGATGGCCAGTGTGGGGCTTGTGCCCCATCCCTAGAGAGTGACCCTTCTGTTTTCCCTCCAGACACCACATCTTGTCAACCTGAACGAGGACCCATTGATGTCTGAATGCCTCCTGTATTACATCAAAGACGGGGTCACCAGGTATGAGAATTATGGGAGGGGTCACCAGATGGAGGATATGGGGTCACAAATGAGGGGGTGGATCACTAGCTGGAGTGTCACAGCCTCTCCAGCCAGGCCAGGGTCTAGTGGGCAGAGAGAGGTGGGCTCCCTGTTCCTTTCATCTTGCTCTACCCCACAAGGGCCAAGTAGGTCACCCTAACAATGTGATCCACCTGCGCTTCTTCCAAAGTGTTGCTGCAGGCTATCTGGGTCTCCTTGTGGCTGGGCTGCACTGGGGGTCCGACCTCTGGTCCACTCTCACTTTTCAAATTCCTTCACCCTGGTGTTTCTCAAAAATTTCCAGCTGGGCATCCCTGGGAGGCTGCTTGAGGGAGTGAGCTGGCCAGAGGGTGGGTGTGCTGGGTCCCTGCTGTTCGGCTGAGCCCTGATCCCCCAACAGAGTGGGCAGAGAAGATGCAGAGAGGCGGCAGGACATCGTGCTGAGCGGGCACTTCATCAAGGAGGAGCACTGCATCTTCCGGAGTGACTCCCGAGGAGGTGGTGAAGGTAGTATTGCCCTCCTGCCCCTATCCTGCCCATCCTGCTGACCTCAGTGAGGTCTACTGAGTCAGCCCTAGGGGGCAGATCATTAAGCATCTGCCCACTTCTCAGCTTCAAGTGGATCCTGAATCACGCACTGGGCAGTCAGTGCTCCTAAACTCTCCTGTATGTAAAGCCCTTGTTTTCTCATGTGCAGATGAGTCAAAGGGGTCTCGGACATCCTTGTGGACATATCAACCACTGTTTCTTATCCTTGTCCACCCAGAGACCTGAACAAGGACCTGGGAAGTCAAGCCCAGTGTGGTCTCCCCAGTCGTGGCTCGGGCCCATGTGTTTCCCTCTCGAAGGCATTTTCCTCCTTCATTAAATGGCTGGGACGCCCCCCCGCTCCCCCCCAGGCTCCTCTGAGGGGTGTTGCTCATGGTCAGGCTCTATGACCAGCAGGAATGAGGAGCCTGGGTGGTACACACCCAGGGGCCAGGCAAACTGAGCCATTGAAGTAACAACCCCTCACAGAACCCCTCCTCTCTGTCCTATAGCTGTGGTGACCCTGGAGCCCTGTGAAGGAGCAGACACGTATGTCAACGGCAAGAAAGTTACTGAGCCCAGCATCCTGCGGTCAGGTATGGTTGAGGTCATGAAGGGGCTGCAGGGTAGATGGGGTGTAAAGCAGGGCCTCTGTGCCATTCTCAAGTTACCCCTTCTATATGGGAGACCCTTCTTGGGCACAGTTTGCTCCGAGCAGGGGCAGCTCTTCAGACTATGGGCACATGACCAGCCCATGAGACTCTATCCCCCAAATGGGGCCTGAATGCCTGGACCTATATGAAAGGCTGGAACAGAGCAGGTTCTGCTCATAGAACACTGGGACCCAGCACTAGGCCAGTGCTGAGTGGGGAGCCAGGGTAGGACCAGTCTAGGAGGAGGAGGCTCCTGGGTGGCTACTTTGGGGAGAAAACTAGGGACCAATGCTTGACCAAACTGGTTTTACAGAGAGGTCAGTGGGGGAGCCAGGTGAACACCCTCCCAGTAACATCATCCTGGGCTTGGGCACTGCAATCCCTCTGATACTGTTAAAAACCACACACATCGTGTTAAAGTCTCTTCTTTTGGGAAAGTCAGATGAGATATATAATGTGGCTTCTTAAGTGATGTAGCTTTTGCTTCCACGGTGGGAGGCATGGATATACATGCCTGAGGACAGAGATGCACACACATGTATAAGGAGGGTTATTTCAGGGCTCCAACTTACAGGACTGTGTCAGTCATTATTTGTTGCTGTGACGAAGCACCTGAGAAAGTTTAGGAAAGGATGGATCGTTTTGGGTCACCGTTTCAGAGGTTTCTGCCCATGGCTGGCTGGCTCCATTGCTTTGAGCCTGTGGTGCGACAGAGCATCATGGTTGGGAGGTATGATAGCACAGAGCTGCTCACCTCTTGGTATCCAGAAAGCAGAAAGCAAGACAAAGGGTCAGGAGCAAGTAGGCACACCCCCAGTGACCCACTTCCTCCAGGGGGCCCTGCCCTAGTCACTCAGCCTGAACTCATCAATAAATTAATCTATTATTGTGATCTGATCACTTCTCAATAGTGCCACCAGGTGGGCCCCCAGTCTTCAACTTCTGAGCCTTTTGAGGGGACACCACACTGAAACAGTAACATTCTACTCCTAATCCTAACCCTCAAGGGCCTGTGTCCATCTCACAATAGAAAGTGTATTCCATCCATCACCAAGAGTCTCCATACACTTAAAGTTCCATCATAGCTTGGAAGTCCACATTTAAAGTGTCTTCATAGATTCTGGGCAAACTGTTTGTGTGAGCCCTCCTAAAACCCAAAAGAAAGTTAAGTCTGATGGTGAGAGGAGGTACACATTTCCATACTAAGAGAAGAATAGAAAAATAGCAAAGAGGAATGAGACCATTAAATCCTATAGCTCCATGTTCAGCATCCAGGGCATGTGGTGGTGCTCATGAGTTGAACATCAAAGGGCTTAGACAGCCTCCTTCCTCGGCCCTTCTAGCTGCAGCCCACATGGCCTCTTTCCTGAGCTGACTCTGCTCACTGCTGTGGCTTTCCATTAGACTCATTCCATGTTCTTGGCATCTCCAGCATCCTGAGGTCTCCATTGCACCTTGGGCTTCATCCTCATGGCTTTACAAGTTGCCATCTCAGGGGCTGCCCATGGGAAGTCCAACCCTGCCATATGTGGCTTGGCTTCTCAGAGATTTCTTTGAAATCTGGGTGGAAGCTTCTGAGACATCATAACTTGTAGTCTGCATGCTTGCCAAATCAGCATCACTTGAACAAAGCTAAATTTAGCCTCCTGGCATCTTTCAAGATAGCTGGGCCCGGTTGGATCATGACTGTGCGCCTCTGAGTGCCTGCATGACTGAACACGGAAGTACTGAGAAAGCCTGGTGTGTGCACACCTTCCTTGGCTCCAGCTCTGTATGCTTTTGTTTCTGGCCAAACGTCCAAGCTGTAAAAATCTTTCTACTTTGCTTATTGCCCACCCCCCACTTCCTTACTGCAATGCTGGTTAAATGCAGCCATAAAAGTCCTTGCCACTGCCTAGATGCTGTGCTGCCTTGAAATTTTTTCCACCAAATTCATTAGTTCACTTCCTGGAAATTCGGCCTCCCACACAGTCTTAAGACATGGATGAAATGTAGCCAAGTTCTTAGCCATAATGTATGAAATGTAGCCACGTTCTTTCCCAGACTGTAATGTGAACGATCTCTCGCCCAGTCCCCAAGAGTCCTTGCTCCCAGCCGAAGCCTCTTGAGCAGTTTGTCACCCACATTCCCGTCAGCATTCTGATCTTTTGAACTCCCACCAGGGCTTCCGGAGCCCTGCATCGCCAGGATTTTCCAGAGCCGTTCCTCCCACGAAGCCTGAACCACTGAGTCAAAGGGCTGGGTTTAGGAGACAAGAGGGGGTCCATTCGGAGGAGGAAAGTGATTGGATCTACAGTCTCTGGGGCCAGAGGCTCTCCTTGAGGTGGCTGGTGCTGGGGGTCCAGACAGAGAAAGTTGCCTATAGCCCCGTTCCCTTCTCCCCTCACCCCTCAAGGGCACCTGAGATCCGCAGGTCCCCCAACATTGGCTTTGCCTCCAACCCCCAGGAAACCGCATCATCATGGGAAAGAGCCACGTATTCCGATTCAACCACCCTGAGCAGGCCCGCCAAGAGCGTGAGCGCACACCGTGTGCAGAGACACCCGCGGAGCCTGTGGACTGGGCTTTTGCCCAGCGTGAGCTGCTGGAGAAGCAAGGCATCGACATGAAGCAGGAGATGGAGCAGAGGTGAGGCCTGGGGCCTAGCGACCCGAGGCCGAGTGGGATGGCCCACCTATCACGTGCTCGCCTGTCTGTCACGTGCTCACCTGTCTGTCACGTGCTCACCTGTCTGTCACGTGCTCACCTGTCTCGCCCTTGCAGGCTTCAGGAGCTGGAGGACCAGTACCGCCGAGAACGAGAAGAGGCCACCTACCTGCTGGAGCAGCAGAGACTGGTGAGGATGCCTCCGCGGCCCCACAGACCCCCTGGGAGGTCTTGGCTCCCCCTGGCCTCTCTCCCTTGCACCCCAGTGTGCCGGGGCAAGGCTGTCTCAGTCTGTGGTGGAGCCACAGGCCCTTTCTCTCACTGCAGGACTATGAGAGCAAGCTGGAGGCCCTACAGAAGCAGATGGACTCCCGGTACTACCCAGAGGTGAATGAGGAGGAAGAGGAGCCAGAGGATGAAGGTGAGGGGCCCTTGGGTTGGCACCTCTTCCGCCAGCAGGGCCTGAAAGAGCAGGTGTACAGGTCCCAGGCCACAGGCTGGAGAAGGGTGTTAAGAAAGAGGCAGCCCCAGGCGCCCCACTGAAAGTCAGCCGAACTTTTGCCCTAGAGATAAGCCTCCTTGACCCTGGTACTGCTGTAGAGGCAGAATCTGGAAGGCTGTGCTGCAGTAGGTAAGCGCGCAGCTCACATACACAGCAGGCACACGTGTGCTGATGGGAGTAGCCAAGACCATGGGTGCTTGTGAGGGCTCACCTTGCTCAGTGTGGTGTGTGACCACCACAGACAAGGTCCACTCTGCACCTCATCTGAGGGTCCCCTTATTCTAGAGGACCCCATGAACAGAGAGCATGAGAGCACACGGTCCCCTCCCCCACTGCCAGCTGTGCAAAGCATATGTAGGTGTCATTGGTGATACGGCCTCTGCTCTGACTTTCAGACTATCAGGGAAGCTCATGTGGGGAGCACACTTTCTCTCTGGGGTGCCTGGGGTCTTCTGTACTGCTCGCTCAGCAGGCCTTTCTGCTGGGATCTTCTTTCACTCTGCACCCAGAGTGTGCTGTGTGGAATCGGGAGCCCAAGCACAGGTGCCCAGCCCAGCATGGGAGAGGCTGTTCAAAGTCTCCCCCTGGGGAGAGAGCCCTCCCCATCCACCTCTGGTCACAGTGACCATGGAGGGGAATGACAGCCCAGTGTTTCCTCTTTCCACCTAGTGGACCACTCCAGCCGCAATGCGCACTGGGTGCAGGGTCAGTTCAGGAAAGCCTGTGGCATGGTCAGGTCGTCTTCACTTTGCAGATGTCAGGTTGCAGTTGACTGTTATGGCTTTCTTTGATGACCCATGTGGCTTCTCCCACAGTCCAGTGGACAGAACGGGAGTGTGAGCTGGCATTGTGGGCCTTCCGAAAGTGGAAGTGGTACCAGTTCACATCTCTGAGGGACCTGCTGTGGGGCAACGCCATCTTCCTGAAGGAGGCCAATGCCATCAGTGTGGAGCTGAAGAAAAAGGTGGGTCCCATCAGAGGGTATGCCCAGTGATGGGATAGCTGCTTATAGTCACGACTCGGCACCCACACTCAGCTGGTCCTGGGGTGGACAGGGACTTCCGCCTAGACTGGTACCCAGTGAACCATTATGGGATACAGAGCTAAGGCCTCAGGAAACTGAGAAGAAGCCCCTTGAGAACCTGGCTTCCACTCAGCAAGGAATGGATGAGTGGTCATCTTTTACTCCTCATAGGTCCAGTTCCAGTTCGTCCTCCTCACAGACACCCTCTACTCCCCACTACCGCCAGACCTGCTTCCTCCAGAGGCTGCCAAAGACCGAGAGACACGGCCCTTCCCCCGCACCATTGTGGCAGTGGAGGTCCAGGACCAGAAGAATGGGGCCACACACTACTGGACGTTAGAGAAACTCAGGTACAAGCTGGCAGACAGTGAGGTGAATGGCAGACAAGGGTTTTCCCTGGAGACAGAACCAGGCCGGGCTCTGAATATAGATGTCGTTGTGTCTCCTGGTGTAAGTCTTTTTAAGATGGAAAGAAGAAAGTAAATAGAATTCATCTTCTGCTAATGCTGCGGTCAAACATGAACGTAGAGTTTGATGTTTTTCTGTAGAGGAGGGCGCACAAGGCAAATGTGTTGCTGAAGGTGAGACCAGGGTTCTGGCATTGAAAGACTGCTAGGGCAGCACAGTGGCACTTGGAAGGTGGGCTCAGTGTCCCCAGCCCTAGCCAAGCCTGTGCCAAGGACCTCAGAGATGGAGGAACCGTAGCTCCTCTACCCCGAGTGCCTGTGGGAGGTCATCTCCTGAGCCCACTGTAAGGCAGAGGACCTGGGCAGGTTGAAGAGCATCTGTAGTGTCCCTTCATCACTTAGGTCCCTCCACTGCTTGTATGTTTCAAGAGCACCTCTTTTCCAGAACTCTGCTTCCTTGACCCCACATAATTACTCCAGTGTGTGCCAAGCCTTCACGTATGATGGTGACTGAGTGATGGCATAGGTATAGGCCATGTGAGTAGAGTACACTCACAGCCTTGGAAACAGGCACAGAGCCTGGGGTGGGTGGGTGGAAGTGGGGGCACCAGGGCTGGCCAGGAGCAGGAAAGACAAGAGTGTTCCTGGGGCTTCTGAGGGAAAGGCAGGGTAGCAGGCCTCTATGGACCAGCTCCCTGGAATGAGGCCGGCCTTGGGCAAGAGGCCTTCCTTTCCTCTCCCTGTGCTGGCTGATTTAGGGCACAGAGAACACTGGCCAGGTGTGTGAGACTTAGGGAAATGAGAGTTGAGTATAGACTTGGGGTCTGTTGGTTTGTATGTGCAAGGCCAGCTCACTAATATGTTGCTATCCCTAGGAGTTAGCTGGGGGTGGAGGTGGAGGGAGCTCTTCCAGACCAGACAGGCCTCCTGAAGATGGCAGATGTGGAAAGCAAACTGAATAGACATGTACTTTCCTTCTTGTGCGATTTATGTGTGTGCACGCAGCTCACGCTCTGTACTCTCTCAGGCAGTTAGGTTGACTATGACACACCAACAGTGGCTGCTTGTCCTTTTAGAGGCTAAAATCTGAGCTCTAGAGAGCACAATTGTATTTTCTTCCTTCACATTTTGTCCTACCTGGGGATAATAATTTAAACAAATATTTTCTGTCTCCCACATCCCCTTCCCTGCTTCACCTGGGTTCGCTATTGGACCTTTCAGGGTTCTGTGATAGGCATCCCATTTCTGAGAGTCTATTGGATGTCTCCCTGCATCTATGCCAGCTCCATAGCTACCAAAAGCCACCCAGGAGCCTGTCGGTCCTCTGTTGTCCCCCACCTATCCTGCCTGTTCAAGACACCTTGCTGGGTTTGGGAGGAGTTTGTGGTGTGCTCCCATGTCTACTACAAGTTTCTTGTGAATGAACTGTTCTGAGGGTCACAGAGGGGTTTCCATTTGACAGACCCCTAAGCCAGTGATCCCGAGCAGGATGCTAGAGATGGAGCCAGGACAAGCCTGCTGCCCAGGAGGAGGGATGGGATGCCAGGCTGCTGCTAGACACTGTCCTGAGCTCACCTGGTCTCTGTGCCCCAACAGGCAACGCCTGGACCTGATGCGAGAGATGTATGACAGGGCTGCAGAGGTGCCCTCCAGTGTCGTTGAGGACTGTGACAATGTGGTGACTGGCGGGGACCCCTTCTACGACCGCTTCCCCTGGTTCCGGCTGGTGGGCAGGTGGGCACCTCCTCCCTTCCCTTACGAGAGATGGCAATAAGGACAAGAAATAAGCTTCCTTCCAGAGCCCAGACTCCAAACTGCCCTGACTAGATGTGAAGGAGGAACCCATCCTCCACTCCTTCCACTGAACTTGCCCCAGTATTGCGTGCCACACTCCAGGCCTTGCTTTTTTAGAGTACTTGGGATGGCACCTCATCCCTGCTGCCCACATCTACTGTGGGGCCATGTGT